ACATTGGGGGGCGGGGAGTGGAATTTGGAGCAATTTTCTTGCTCTCGCGTGCTTTTTGGATTCATAGCAGCTTGTTTGGAGCAACCATGTGGCGGCTCTGACCAAACTGTAGCAGGTCAGAAAAGCTGTAGTGGTTTGCCTGTGCTTGCACAGCATCTGGCCAAGCAAGCAGAGGGCAAGTGGCCATCCCACGCCACGTTCCGCCGTCTCCCTCCTCCCCAGCCCTCGCTGGCCCTGACCTAGATCTCCCTGCCAAGAGCTGCTCACGCTCTGCTGCTGCTCCGACGGTCTGCTTGGCAGGAGAATTTTGTGATGTGGCTTCTTGATCAAATCCACCGTTGGATGGCATCTCTGCCTGAGGAGGGGGGTCACTGGCTCCACGCATGAGCTGCGAAACCTCTCCCGAGTCCTGCGGGAGCCTCTCGCTCCTGGGGTCCCTGGGGTGGTGGATCTCCGGTGGTGTTTATTGTGCAGGGCAGTTCGGGCACTGTGTGACCACACAGGCACCGCCGATGGTCACCTGAGCTTCCAAAAAGGGGACATCCTGCAGCTGCTCTCCACTGTGGATGAAGACTGGATCTGCTGCTGCCGTGGAAACAGCACCGGCCTAGTGCCTGTCAGTTACACGTCCCTGGTTTTGTGAGGTGGTGGAGGAGACCTGGGGAAGTGGCCGAGCTTGCCAAAGCAGGTGCCATCTCCGGGAAGGACCGACTCCTGCCACATCTTCACCACCTTCGGGGCTGGCGGTTCTGCAGGGGACCCTGCCCTGGTGCCCGTGGCTGCTGCTCGTTTGCATGACGTTACCGTCTGCCGTGGGTCCATCCCATCGGCCACTGCTGTGCATGTCCCTGCAGACCTGCTGGCACGTCACCGTGGCTCCCGTTTGGGAACTGCCCTCACGTTTCCTCAGCTGATGCCCACGCCTCTGCCAGGGGAGGGAAGGACCCTGTCCCTGCGTGGTACTCATAGTTCTGTATGTCGTCTTTGTGCCATCGTGTCCTGCCATTGCTGCCACCTCCACGTGCCCTGCTCTGCCCTGTGGCCGGGGCTGGTGGCCCAGGCTGGCCCCAGCTGCCGATGCGCAGTCCCAGCACTCTGTAAATAGTTGTAACCACGGGAACGAGCTTATTCCAGGGCAAAAAAAGCTGGAAATAAAGGTTGTGACTCATGTGTCCACACGTGTGAATAGATCATTCTGGGGGTGTGGGGGGGCACGTTGCCCATCCCTGCGTGGGTGGCCTGGGCTGGTGCTTTGGTGAGTAAAGGCTCTTGCGGGAAGAGCCGGCACGTAAGGGGGCCATGGTGGACCAGCTCAGCGTACCAACATCAGAGCTCAACCGGCGAGCCCGGGAAGGCATCGTGCCCTGGCAGGAAGAGCCGTCTCCTACAGAGTGTAGGAAGAGGTGGCTGCACATGTCCAGAGCCAGAAATAACCTTGGAAAAGAGTGCATCACTCTTGGTAACGAGTCCTACAAGATGGACGCTGCACAGCACTGGTAAAGGGGTGTGTGTGTGTGTGTTTAGTTATTTATTTAAATGAGACTAATTTTTTTTTTTTTTACTGAGTCACTGAGGATTTCAGTAGGGGCTGGATGGCTTGTGTTTGTTTCAAGTTTTTTCTCACCGCCTACATTTTTGTACGGGGCTCCCCAGTACATGAGCGACATGGGTGTACTGGAGAGCAGCCAGTGAAGGGCCAGAAGGCAACAGCAGCTTGGCTTAGGGGCAGCTTTGGTGCCAATGGTCGCTCCTATGGCCCAAGAACCACATTTCATCCCTCTTAACTTCCACTGTTTCAGTGGTAAAGGAAACCACGCTTCAGCCAACAGGCTGTGTTCTGCTTTGAGGATAGAGCTGCTCTCTTTTTATTCTGTTCTCATTTTCATTTCTCTCTCTGGAATTTTTACTCTCAGACAAGGGACATTGTATCTTAATTGGAATGTTATTTGGCTTGCTTAAATAGGTTTGATTGAATTCCACAGCTGCCTCTGGACTTTGAAATGGGGTCAAGCCAGCAGTAGATGAATCCAGGTACTTTTAAAACTTTGTTTAAAATTAAAAAAACCAGTCCAGTCCTTGGTGTGGGGTCTGTCGTTTAAAAGGAAGAGAAGGGTATGGGTCAACCATGGCATTTTAAGGCCCATACAGATTCAGGCTAGGAAATGGAAAAAGGAAAATCGAGTTACATTAATAGGAGGTCATCAAGGAGCTATTTCATTCCTGGGCACCTGATGTAAATAGTTAACAAACTTATTCCCAGAAACCACTTCTGAACCAGAGGAAGTTTAAAAGACTTGTAAGGACCGTATCTCATTAGTGCCAACCTTGACAGAGTATCAGAGGAAATGCAAGGCTGACAAAGCCTTAGAAAGGCTGGATTGAAGGGACACAACATTCTCAATTTCTTTGTTCCTCAATCTCCTGCTGTGTGCCAAGAGGCACCGGGCAGGATCATGGTATGCGATCAGGCTGAGAGCTCGAAGCACCTCAGCCTTTCTGGCTTACCTGGCTTCGGTAATGGAGGGGAAGGTGTCCTGCAGTGCAAGTCATTTGTCCGACATGACTCTGGGCTAGTGTTAGCGGTGGTTAAGTGCACCAACACTTAACGATGCATTAGCAATGCCGCACATTGAGGTGCACTACGCAATGAGGTGCATTAACAATGCTGACAGAACCGAATCTGCTGTCTATGCAGGCACGGGAGGCATCGTCTCTAGGTACTGGGGGTTTATATTCTGGGAAGAGGAACTAAATTTGTAGATTTAATGGTTCATGTACCGACCTGCCATTATATATGATCACAGTTACACACCCTCCGACTACCAAAGAGTGAATGTCCGTGTGATGCTCCTGTCTGTGTGCATGCTGCCATCATGCCTCCTGCCAAGGTCTGACCAGAAGAAACAAGAGCATTGAATTAAATCCTCGCAAAATACCATCACCCATCAGGCAACTGGATATCTGAAAGAGATGAGGCAACAGCGCCAGAGAAGTGGCTGTAAGAGAGTCAGAACATGACAGGAGCAGCTGAGTCAAAGATGCAAGAAAGAAAATCAAAAGACGTGTCAAAGAAAACCCCACAAGTCATCGATAGGAAAAGATTTTTTCCATTTAATACTAGACTCTCTCAGGATTGAGATGCAGGCTTTTTATGCAATTACATCCAATGTTAAAATTGGTAATACATAATTTACAAAGATTAACATCAAAACAATGATCTATTTAGATATGCTTTGTAAAAAGGAAATATATTAGCAGCATTTATTTTCAGCAATCACACAGCCTACACCCATGCAGACTAAGAGTTCATATCTATTTGCAATAATGTAGTGCTTCCTGGTCTTAAAACAGCGATCCTGGTGACACACTGGTCTTCTCATTATTATAAAATAACCGAAAAATAAAAAAAGTCATTAATTTCTACACCAGTAAGAAAAACAATTCTTTGCACTTACCTAACATTTGATTGTCTAAAAAACATTTTGTTTAGTCTTTCAACAAAAGAAAGATAAAATGACAGAGCTAGTGTCTTGCTTCTGTACGCACTTTATTTTTTAAAAACTTTTTAGTGTTTTAACACCATTTGAGACAATGATTTCTGTTTTAAACTAAATGAGACAACTCAAGATTTTGGACATGCGATATTCCTACTACACGCACGAGTATTTTATACTCAGGGATCCTGGTACTGTACAGTGCTTCTCTACAGTAAGAAAATATTCCAAACTATTTTCTTATTTCTTTTTTTTTTTTAATAAAATATTTTTTCTCAAAGGGTTTTTTCCTTTCTTTTTTTTTTTTTTCTTTTTAAATCAACACATAAAAGTTAATGGAATGAGTCATGTTCCACTAAAAGTAAAATAATTATAATAATAACAAGAATGTACATTAGGACAAGCTTGGTCCATTAAAAAGGAACATGTAACTACTGTATTGCTTTACATCCACGCAGCAGATATATACAACTTGGCACATTAAAAACTGGTTTTCTTATAAGAACATCTAAAACAGGACTGTATATGCATATGTACGTCTGAAAGACAAAAAAGCAAAGCCATTTTAAAGGGGCAGCGTACGCCGACCACCCCCTCCCTTTGCCACAGCCTGGCCCTGGCCCAGAGACAGGCGACAGCTTCGTGGCTCCGCACCCCGGGAAGGTGGTCAGGTGCAGTACAGGGAGTCCTGCTGCAGCACTGGATCGTGGTACGTTATGGCAATTGCAGCTTCATGCAGTGAGAAATCAGTGCCTCGGCTGTTGCTTTTGGGAATAATACTTTTCGTCAGGGCAGAGAGAGAGGGCGGTGCGAGATACGCTGTCTCTTAATTTAAGAGACAGACATTTTAAGCTGTACAACCAGAACACAAGAATAGTGTTAGCAGTTGATATATTCCACAGTTCACAACAAATACCTGCTCTGAATACTGCCTGACGGTTCATGTAGTGAAGATCTCCTTTTTTTTTTTTTTTCCTTTTTCTTTTTACAGGTTTTAATTTGCACAACACACTAGACACACAAGAACCACAGCTTATCAAAAAAACCAACAGCAATGGTGTTGTCAGGATTTGACTCGCTTTATAAAATTTCTCTGCAGAAAAAAGTGGAAAAAAAAAAATAATCACACTCCGCCCCCTCCCCCCTCTACAATGCAGAACAAGTGCCTCAACCAGCCAACTCCTGCTTTGCTCCAAGGTGACTCTGGAAGTTTCTCCTTGTCACAGACCAAAGGTACATGTGCGCACTGGCCATTCCACAGTGAACCTTTCGCACATTTGGGTACGTTTCTCTCTTCTTGGAACTTGTGCAAATCAGAGGCCACAGCTTTAGGGCAGCCTTTAATTTTAAGCCACCGGGCCTTCACCCTCCCATCTGGATTTCATTCACCGGCATGGGTCATGGTGGTGCCAACAGTATCTTGTACAATCACAGGTTAATTGGTGAACATGGGGAATATGCTCATCAGAGTAAATCAGTCCTTATCCTTCTTATCTCCCCATTTTTAGTATTTTTTTTTTTTCCTCTGAGTGGGAATATCAAGCAAAAATAAATTAAATTTGACCATCCTGGACAATAACCACGAGGTTTTTCTCAGTACCTAACATCAATACAAGGCACGCCCAACAACACACACACCATAACAGCACTGCAGAGCAGGGCAGGGCAACCTGCCAACCCAGACATCTAAGTGCTAACTGTTTGTATATTTGTCAGTTTTCTGCTGCCCTCTTTTCCTTGGCTGGTGCAGAGGAAGTTGGCCTCCTGCCCTCAGTCCTCAGCAGACCTTGTAGCAGACTCCAGACCACAGCTTCCTCTCGTGGCATCACTTCCTGAAGCTGCTCTCTGGGATGGTGAGAGTGCGCCGCCTCAGTTTTCTTCCTGATCCTTCCTCCAGCAAGTAAGTGACATCAATAGCTGCAAAAAAACCACAGGCTTTTGGTAAAAGAAGGTGATATGAGTAACAGTTTTCCTATTTCCCTATTCACAGTTCTTTCAAGGATGTTTCCATCCATGGTGATATTCAAACCTCCACTGGACAAGGTGCTGAGCAGCCTGTATTAAGTTTGAAGTTAGCCCTGCTTTGAGTCATGTTTGGACCAGATGACCTCCAAAGATCCTTCCAACCTAAATTATTCTGTGAGTCCAT